TAACCCATGAGTACAGTGTATCCCTCCAGTTATTTAGGTCATTTTAAATCTTGTTTACAAGCGTTATGTTAGCTCTCACCGTGCTGATTTTTCACATCTTTGATGTATTTATCCATAAGTATTTCATATTTTTTATGGTTTGTAAGTAGTATATTTTAAAATTTCAATTTCCAATGGCTCATTGGTCATATTTAATATATAGAAAAGCAATTTATGTTCATATATTAATCTTGTATCCTGTAATCTCACTAAACTCACTTATTAGTTGTAGTAGCTTTTAATAGATTCTGTTGGATTTCTGCATAGATGATCATGTCTGCATGAAGATAGTTTTATTTTTTCCTTTATGATATGGATGGCTTTTCTTTCTTTCTTCTTTTTTTTTTCTTCTTGCCTGATTGCACTGGCTGGAAACTCCAGTACAATGTTGCCTAGAAGTAGTGACATCTTATATACTTGTCTTGTTCCCAAGCTTGAAAGAAAAATCATGTCTTTTATCATTGAGTATAATGTTAGCTGTAGGTTTTTCATAGATGCCCTTTCTCAGGTTGAGGCCATTCCCTTCTAATCATGTTTTGCCTGAAGTTTTTAATCAGGAATGGAGGTTGGATTTTTGCCAAATATATTTTCTGTATCTATTGATGTAATTGTATAGTTTTTCTATTTTAATTTGTTAATATGATGACTTACATTGATCCATTTATTTTCTATTTTTTTAAGACACAGAGTCTCGCTAATGTTGCCCAGGCTGAAGGGCAGTGTCTAACCATGGGCATGATCACAGCACACTGCAGCCTCTAACCCTTGGTCTTAAGTGATCCTCCCACCTCAGCCTCCCAAGTAGCTAGGATCACAGGTATATGCCACTGCACCTAGCTTGATTCATTTTTGAATGTAGAACCAATCTTGCAATCCTGAGATAAATACTGTTGAATTCATTTTGCTAAAATTTTGTCTGAATTTTTGCACCTATTGCCATGATGAATATTGGTCTATAGTTTTCTTATAATGTCTTTGCCTGGCTTTAATATTATTAATACAGTAAAGCTGGCTTCATACAATGAATTAGGAAATGTGCCCTTCTCTTCAATTTTCTTGGAGAAAGTATGTGGAATTGGTATTATTTCTTCCTTATATATTTGGTAGAATTCACTAGTGAAGGCATCTGGGCCTGGATCTTTCTTTGTGGGAAGGTTTTTAACTATAAATTCAATTTCTTTAATAGAAATACAGAGCTATTTAGGTTACTTATTTGTTCTTGAAAGAATTTTGGTAGTTTGATAGTTTTTGTCTTTCAAGGAATTTGTCCATTTCATCTAGGTTGTCAAATTTATTGGCATAAAGTGGTTCATAATGTTCCTTATGTTCCTGCTAATATCTATAGAATGTCTAATAAAGTCTCCTCTTTTATTCCTGATTGATAATTTGTGTCTTCTTTCCTAATTTCCTTAGGATTTAGCAGGAGGTTTATCAATTTTATTGATCTCAAATAAACAGCTTTTGATTTCATTAATTTTCTCTATTATTTTTCTATTTTCTGTCCCACTGATTTCTGCTTTGATCTTCATTATTTCCTTTCTTTTGCTTACTTTGGTTTAATTTGGTCTCTTTTCTTAAGGTGAAAGCTGAGGTCACTGATTTGAGACCCTTCTTTTTTTTTCTCATATGGGCATTTTAGTGCTATAAATTTTCCCCTAAGGGCTGCTTTAGCAATACTCCTCAAATTCAGATATATTGTGCTATTGTGCTTTCATTTTCATTCAGTTCAAAGAAGACTGTCTAATGTCCCTTTGATTTCTTCTGTGACAAATGGCTTATTTAGAAGTGTGTTGTTTATTTTTTAAGTATTTGGAGATTTTCCAGAGGTCTGTTATTGATTTCCAATTTAATTCCACTATGACTAGAGAAGATACTTAGTATCTTGTAAAGTTTATTGAGACTTGTTTTATGGCTGAATATGGTCTATCTGGGTAAATCTTCCATGAGCACTTGAAAATTTGTGTTATTTTGTTGGGTGGAATGTTTTAGCCAAATTGGTTAATAATGTTGTTCAAAGCTTCTATATCCTTAATCATTTTTATGTTTTCATGTTCTACTAATTATTGAAACAGAGATACTGCAATCTCTAACCATAATTGTAGGTTTATTTCTCCTTGCTGTTCTATCAGTTTCTATTTCATGTGTTTGAAGACCTATATGCATAAACATTTAAGATTTTTATGTCCTCTTGATAAATTGACCCATTTGTCACTAAAAATGACTTTCTTTTTTTTTTTCTTTTCTTTTTTTTTAGATAGGGTCTCACTCTCTTGCCCAGGCTAGAGTGCAGTGGCCCAATCATAGCTCACTGCAGCCTTGAACTCCTCAGTTCAAATGATCCTCCCATCTCATCCTCCCAAAGTGCTAGAATTACAGGCAAGAGCCACTGCACCCAGCCTGAAATGACTTTTTTTGAAATCAAATTTGTCTTATATTAATATAGCCACTCTAGTTTTCTTTTGATTAGTGTTTTCATGTATATCTTTTTCCATCCTTTTTACTTTTACCTTATATATCTTTATGTTTTAATTTGCTTCATGTAGGCAGCATGTAGTTGAGTCTTTCTTTGATATCCAATCTGACATTGCCTTTTAATTTGGAGTGTTTAGACCGTTTTTGTTTAATGTGATTATTGATATAATTAGGTTTAAGTCTGTCATTTTGCTATTTGTTTTTTATTGGTCCTACATGTTTTTTGTTTTCCTTTTCTTCTTTTTTTGCTTATAAATTAATTGAGCATATTTTACAATTCTGATTTATCTCCTTTATTAGCTTATTAGTTATAATTCTTTGCTTCTTTACTTTAATGGTTGCTTTTGGGTTTATAGTATACATCTAACTTAACACAGTCTACCTTCAAGTGATACAAGTTCACATATCATATAAGAACTTTACAATAATGTATTTCCATTTCTCCCCTCCTGGCCTTTATGTTATTGTTTTCATGTATTTTACTTTTACATATGTTATAAACCCCACAACACACTGCCATTATTTTTATTTAAATAGTCAATTATCTTTTGAGATGTTAAGGAATACAGCCCTCCTAAGAGAGGCTTTCTCAGCCTGTGATCTGCAATCTACATTGGGACTGGGAGCCAGGAAATAGGACTGAGGCCCCACGCCTTTCCCAAGAGCTTCCTATTAATGTTTCTCAGCCAGCAAAAGAAGTGAGAGCTAGCATAATGACAAAGATCAGATGGAGGTCAAGCCTGTTGTTTCAGATGGCCTCAAGTTGCTGCCCTTAGGATGAAGATGAGAGAACTTCTGAGCACAGCAACCAGTCAGTAACTGAGAGATTTCAGAATTTTGAGCTATGCTTAAAAGAGATACTGTGAGATATCTCAGCCAGGTACAGTGGCTCACGCCTGTAATCCTAGCACACTGGGAGGCCGAGGTGGGAGGATCGCTCACAGCCAGGAGTTCAAAACCAGCCTAAGCAAGAGCAAGATCCAGTCTCTACTAAAAATAGAAAGAAATTAATTGGCCAACTAAAAATATATAGAAAAAATTAGCTGGGCATGGTGGTGCATGCCTGTAGTCCCAGCTACTTCGGAGGCTGAGGCAGGAGGATCGCTTGAGCCCAGGAGTTTGAGGTTGCTATCAGCTAGGCTGATGCCACAGCACTCTAGCCCGGGCAACAGAGTTAGACTCTTTATCAAAAAAAAAAAAAGAGAGAGAGAGAGAGAGATACTATGAGATATCTGGCTGTGGTTACTCACTCAAATAGATGACAGGAGGCCAATGGCTGGAAGCTTCCTACATGCCAAGAAAGACTTGTACTGCCAATGAGACCACAAGCCAAACCTGTAAGCCAGCCTGGAGCTGGGAGATTCCATCAGCTTCCCCAGAGTCTGGCATTTGACTTGGCTTCCTTCACACTGGCCCCTCCTCAAGGCTGGCCTTCTGTTTTCCCCTGAGCCCCAGAAGACCTGTCACTCTGGCCCGCTCAGCCCGCCCCATATGATCCACACCAGATGCCTGTTCCAGAGCTCCAACCAGCACCTCCCCACCCCTAGTGAGGGTTCCCTGACACCCTTCATAGGCCCAGGGGCTGCCCTGTAGGTGTCACCCTGCCTCAGTGCCAAGCCCCATCTTCAGTCACCAGCCCTCCCGTCAGAGCTAAACTGCCGTCCTCAGCCTCTAGGTGTTGAAAGAGGGGACTTCAGACATCATCGAATCTACCTGTCTGTCCAGGCAGGGTCCTCAAAAGATGGTGGACAATTAGAAAGATGTTTCTTTCAATTAACTGAAGTTTCTTTCAGTGTCAGTTCCACCTGAGGTCCTGGTTCTTCCATCTCCTGATTGTACACAGGACTCCCCTACGCCCCCTGGCTCCCCACTTGCCAGTTGTGTGAACTCGAGTTGATGTAACTTCCTAAGCTTTTGTTTCCTCATCTGTAAAATGAGGGAGGAGCCAAGCCTGGGATCAGTGGGTCACCGCGCAGGGGTACACTGCGAGTCCCTTCCTGCAGCCACGGTGCTTGCCATGAGGCCGACCCCTGACACTCCCTCCGGCAGGGCACACACGCTTTGCCTCCCTACGTCCTTGCAGACACCAAGCTTATTCCCAGGAGTGGCCGCGTGGAATAAGAGCAGGGGATTGTCAGCTAGCTATTCCAGCCTCGGCAGCAGCGCCCTGCCAGGCCCCAGCGCCCTGCCGGGCCCCAGCTCGCGCTGGCCCAGAAGAATCCTGGGCAGCTTGAGCACAGAACTTTCCAGTGATTTTCAATTTACCCTCACAGCCAGGCCAGGCTGCTCGTGACTGTGCTGTGGGGCAGCGGGGGCTGGCCCAGGCTCTCCCTCCCCGGCCACCGGCGCCCGCACGCGGCCCACGCCCACGCTGACTGCACAGGCAGCTCCGCGCCACCCTCGCCTCGCAATTCCCAATCTCTTCCCAGCCACCAGCATCTTCCTCTCCCAAGGAGCCGGATTTTACACAAACACAAGCACAACCCTACCTTTTCTTTTTTTCTTTTTTGCCTCTTCTCGTGTCACCAGAGCAAACACTTATAAACTGAGGCTGTAAACTTGACCCTGAAAGAGACGCCATAAGCTGTCACCCAGGGGTCTGCAGACCTGCACTGAGCACACCCTAGATCAGCAGAGAGGTGCTCCCCGCTCCCTCAGTTTTTCCAGCTAGGGTTTTTGGTGTAAGGCAGGTACATCAACTCCCTCCCCCAGCTGCCTACCGGGAGCAACGTCACAGTCCTGAGATTGGGTGTCTCAGGGAGGCAATTTGGAAGGCACCTGCAGCTGGGCCCAACCTAGAACCCAGGGAAGGAACCAGGCTTTCATGGTATCGGTCAGGAGCAAGAAACCCAGCTCCAGCTAGGTTAAGCAAAAAAGGGAACGAAAGGCTCCTGTGGCTGGAAGGCCTGGTGGAGGTGGATCCGGGGGCTCAAAGGCGCACACGTGTCATCATCGCTGCCCCCTTCCTGCTTCCACACATGCGCTGCCCCTGTTCTCATATCTGCTGATGGGAAACTTGCTTCAGGCAGTGAGGGAGATAGCCAGGCAACTCCAGCACCTCCACTTAGCAGCCCCAGAGGAAGGAGAGCTTCCCTCTCCCAGTCCCGGGCAGATCCCCACAGGTCCTGGTATCACATGCCTGCCCCGCGGCCCTGGCACCGCTGTCTCCAGGAGGAGGAGGACGGAGGGGAGCTTCCTGGGCAGGCAGAAACAGGAGCGAAACAGTCCTCTACACGGCATCTATTTTCAAACATGGGAAACTTCTCATTTCTGAGTAAAAATAGAGCCCAATGATCCAAAGTAGGGGAAGAGTCTGGGAGGCTGAGGAAGCTGCCAAGAACAGCCATTCTGTAAATAAAGCCCTGAGTGCTAGAGCAGGACAAGGGACCTCCCGGAAAGCAATTTGTAACAGGCTGTCCTTGAGCACAGGGGCATCTCCAGACCCCGACACAGAACGCATGGAAGGGCACCATTCCGGAGCCCTTGCTCTCATCCACAGAGGAACTACGGTTGCTTTAACCAGGCTGGGGCTCCCCAGGTCACTTATGAAGTAGGCACATCTCGCAAAGACAGAGGAATCCTTGCTCAAAGTTACGTGAGGACGTAACTTTGTCCTCACCCTGGAGTGATGGTAGGCTCTTCCTCCACCCCGCCCCTGTGTGCTGATGAGAAGCATTAAGCTCTTTTGTGCCCTTCTTTAGGCCTCAGCCATCTTGAATGAGACAGTCAATCCTAATGTGAGGAGGTGACCAGACAGGGATGGATCAGCATGCGAGGCAGAGGACAAGGAACAAACAGTGAATGTACTGAACACTAGAGGAGGAAAGCTGGGGACAGAACAGGGACACAGGCAGTAATCTCAATAACAATGACCAAAAAAAGTAGCAGCTATTCATTCATTGAGTGCTTCCTACACACTAGGCTCTAAGAATTTTACATGCATTAACTTACTTATTTGTGCATTTTAAATGTTCAAATGTCCCCACGGTGATATGTCTTAACTATTAAGACAAAGAGAAAGATAGTACCTTACCCTGGAGAAACCCAGTGCACAAGGTTAGCATTACCAGTGATGGGACACAGTGACATCGTGAACACCCCATGTGATACCTTGAGAAGGACAGAACATCACTTCTGTGGGATTCTTTCCAAATATACATAACCTCATTCTCATCTTGAGAAAGCATCAGACAAGCCCAAACTGAAGGACATTCTACAAATAACCAGTACTCATCAAAAGTATTAAAAGTCATGAGAGACAAAGAAAGATTGAGAAACAGACAGGAGGAGACCAAGGAAAAATAACAACTGAATGCCATGTGGGATCTTAAATAGGCTCCATTAACAGAAAATGGGTATTAGTAAAAAACATTGGCAAAATTCAAATAAGGTCTGTAGTGTAGGTAATAGAATTATAGCAAAGTTGGTTTTCTGTTGTTGGTTGGTTCAATGTTGATTGTGATAATTACAACAAGGTAAGATGTTGACATTAGGGAGAGTTGGGTAGAGGTATACAAGTACTCTCTCTACTATTTTTACAACTTTTTGATAAGTCAAACTTAATTCAAATTGAAAAATTTTGAATTATTTCTTAATTTAAAGCTTTCTAAGTGGAAGATTCACCTGACAAATCAAATCCATCTCAGAAAAATAACTTATGGGGTTGGTAAATATTCCTCATTGTCTACCATGTTGTTAAAAATCTGCCACAGCTCTTTTTTGTTTGTTTGTTTTTATTGCTTTGATAGCCCCTATTTGTTGAGCAGATACTCAACTGTAGGGACAAGTGCTACATGCTTATTTAAGTAAGCATCCCGTCAAGTTATGGCGGGGTGAGCAGCGAGGCAGGCTGCCTCCAACAAGGAAATGCTCTCCCCCAGCCTCCAGAGCCAGGGCTCTCCTGGGGTTGTTCTGCATCTTCTGTTTGTCTTGTTCTTCAATCCAGCAGGGCTCAGAGAATGAGAGTTCTCCAGCCTTTTTGACAGTGCATCCCAACCCCTCCTTTTCATTCCTTCCATGGTGACTCACTTTTAGAAGCTTTTGCGATCAAACAGACATTTCCCACCAACTTTAAGCCCAACAAATTTATCCTTCAATGTCTGCTCCTTGTTTCTCATACCTCACAAGAGAAAAAATTAATGTGAGATTGTTGCTATTTAAGAAGTTTGGATTTGTCTCTATTTGATTATTGTCTTTGTTTTTCTCTCTTAGTGTTTCCCTGAGTTTCTCCCATCTCACGAGCCAGGAGGATAACAGCAGCTCAGAGGCTCCTGCCAAAGCAGCAGCTCTGGCCTCCTGGTTGACTGCAGCTTGGAAAGCAAGTATGTTGGTCCTCGATGGTTCCAGCAGCCAAAACAACAAGGCAGGACTTGTGCCTTGTCCCTGTGCTGGACCTTAGCACCTCTTATCTAATTCCTGCCCAGTTAGGTTTCCTGCAGACCTTCCCTTTGCTGTCTTTGTGTTGTGCCAACAAAGTTCTACATTTTTATTCTCCTCTCTCCACATCACAGACTAGAAAAAGTTATCCAATGATTAGTTAACACCCTATTACTATGCCACATTTTGCAATGAAGTGGGACAAGTGGAAAAAGGTATTGACCCCAGTTGCTTTGAACCCTTGACAAGAAGAGGAAGAGCCCCCAAAGGGTCACTGAGTCAAAAGGAGGGGAAAGTTGGGACTGTCTCTGGTCTCCAGGGAGAGCCAGATATGGCTGAGAGGCCCAGCCACTTCCTACCCACCCCGGCAATTTTTGCCAGCTGTAGGAGTGTGGCCCGGGCAGGGCTGGGTATCTGTGAACAGCCCCAAAGTCCCTTTCCCAAGGCCACCTACCGTGGTTACTGATCTCTGCAGATAGGACAAACGTGGAGGACAGGGCAGAGGGAGATAGTTCTGTCTCAGCTCCTTTCTGGTCAGTTCTGTTGGCACCAACAGGGGAATAAACAGACATACAAGGGCGAGAGGCCTCACCCCAAAGCGGTCAGAAGAGCAGTAGCTCCTGCATGAAGGAGGGAAGAGGACGAAGGGGTCGGCTCTGAGCACAGGGCAGGTATCAGCAGGTGCAATGCCTGAGCCTAACAGCAAAGGAACTGACCTCAGACGTTCTTGCCTTGATATGAGGGGCATCTGCACCTCCACCATACTCCTGGGCAGCCCAGAGCCACCTGGAAGGGGACTGAGACCACACCCTCCCCACCTCCTGCCCTGGCTCAGAGGTGAGTGAGGAGCCAAGGGACAGTCCCTTTAAATCAGGGGAAAACTGATGGAAGAAGAAATGGAACCCCTTCCATTCTTACACAACAGACCTCCCCAGGCCTGGGACTCAGAAGAGACGCATTTCCACAGGATGGGGGTGGGGCAGAAGGGCATTGGCTGGGTTGACTGTGATGCTAGAAGCTTACACAGGTAGACAAGAGGAACCTGAGTCTGCAGGATGGCCGGTTTGCACATACGGGGGCCGGGGGAGGGGAGGAGGCAGGCAGATTCTACAGACGCAGAACTGACTGGAGGGGAGGTGATTGTGACTCCAGTGCAGGAGAGGGTGAGGTCACAGCACTGGGAAAGGGAGTGAGAAGTAAATGTTGGCTTGGGGGCCAATTTAACAGCCCCATCATGGAGGTGGACTGAAAGGTGGGATCGACTCAGAAAGTAATGCATAGTGGAGGCCAGGGTGGGAGTATCACTTGAGCCTAGGAGTTCAAGACCAGACTGAGAAAGAGACCCCATCTCTACAAAAATATAGAAAAATTAGCCAGGCAGGGTGGCGCATATGCCTGTAGTCCCAGGTACTTGGGAGGCTGAGGCAGGAGGATCACTTGAACCCAGGAGTTTGAGGTTGCAGTGAGCTATGATGACACCACTGCAATCTAGCCCTGGCAACAGAGCAAGACCCCATCTCAAACAAAAACAAAAACAAAAACAAAAAAAACACACATAAAGGAATGAGAGGCAGAAATATCATGGGGAGGGCACCCACAGATATGGCCCTGAGGACTAAGGGAGGAGTACAAGGAAGAGACCCAGGAACAGGATTCTGCTTGCACTAGAATCCTTGTCTTAAAGTCTGTTTCTGGAAGAACCCAAACCAAGGGTAGGATGTTTTTCATTTTGTAGTCCTCTGACATATTTTTAAAGAAGAGATGGTTTAAAGTGGTGCCCAGCACCAGGGTTATTGATGATATGTCAGTAGAATGGTTAGGAAAGTCAATTTCAGGAAGAGCTTGAGTGATGAGCAGGAAGAGACCATTAATTGAAGACAAGAAAGGGCAAGTCACAGGATGGCAGGTTTCCAAGGCAGTGAGATGAGCCCTTGTTAAGTTAGGATGCAAGTTCTCCACGGGGCTTACTGCTCAAGTAGGATGGAAGAGCACTTCTCCCCTGGTGCAGGGCAGCTGCTGGGAAACTGCCAGCACCTTCCTTGAACCGTGAGACCCCTGAGTTAAAAAGAAGCCTTTGGATTAAGATCAAATTAAAACTCTACTCTTGCTGCATCAGTCCAATCAGACACCCCCTTTCACAATGTACAACAGTCAAGAGGAAAGCAACTGCCAAAGCTCAAAAGCCACCATGGTTGCTTGGGATGCGACCTCCCAAATGCAGATCAAAGTGACAGAGAAGCAGGGAAGGCACCTGAACAGGACTCCATCTTTCAATTTAAGGGTATTAAAAATACATATATAAAAACTAATGCTGTATTTTCATTATTCTAAGATGCAATATTCCATGTTTTAACATCTCTGTAATTGAGGCACATCATATAATTGATACAAATCATATTGCTTAGTAGGATTTTTTTGGTGGTATACAGAAAGTATTGTGGTTATTATTAATACATACGGTAATTTATAAGTGATGTGAACAAATTTTGGGGCTCCTTAAAGATAAAAGCACCTCATTCTTGGCCTCTACTTTTTAAGATATAATGATATTAAGGGCAAAAAAATGCTTTTCAATGAACTACTTTGAGACCTGAATGAATCAGGATAAATAATTTTTCAGGTTTATTATTATTATTTGAGACAGAGTCTCACTTTGTTGCCCTGGCTAGAGTGAGTGCCCTGGCATCAGCCTAGCTCACAACAACCTCAAACTCCTGGGCTCATGCAATCCTGCTGCCTCAGCCTCCCGAGTAGCTGGGACTACAGGCATGTGCCACCATGCCCGGCTAATTTTTTCTATATATATAAGGTGGCCAATTAATTTCTTTCTATTTATAGTACAGACAAGGTCTTGCTCTTGCTCAGGCTGGTTTTGAACTCCTGACCTCAAGCAATCCGCCCGCCTTGGCCTCCCAGAGTGCTAGGATTATAGGCATGAGCCACCAGGTTTATTATTAATACTAATAAAGTTCAGTTCCAAAATTATTTGGCAGATTTTCTTAGCATTACAAAAGCAGAACCAATATAGAATTAACATTAAGGAAAAAGTGAACTTATCCCATAACCTCACCAGCCCAACAGTTAAAAGTACTTGTTTTCTTGTTTTAAGCAAGAAACAAGGATTTTTACTTCATCTGGCATTTTGCATCAGAAGGCAACCCACAGAGAGTTTAAACTTTTGACCCAAATAAAGCTTCCTTCATTTCAGCATTTCTGGAAGTGAAAGTAAGTCATACTCCCTTCCTGCATCTGAGGGAGCCAAGCTGACCCAGAACATCAAATATTTCACATCCTTACCAATCAGGAATAGATAAGTAGGAGATGGTCTCACTTTGGGCATCTTTAATTCTGGACTCAACTTCCAAGTATAATGAAGTATTTCCCCAACTTCCTGTTCTTTTTTTCCAGTCTCCCCTGACCAACTCAACACAGGAGATGGGTCTAACTAGGATCAGGGGTGGGAATGGGCTATACTCATCTCTCTTGTTCTTTTCCTCTTAAGGCCTGCTTGGGTTGATGAAAAGTTTGAATCCTGGCAATGCTTATCCAGTCTTTTTGACCTTCAAACTCAAAATCAACATGACTCGGGAGCAGCCATGAAAAAGGCCCCAAACACCAGTTTGCCCTGAGGCCTCAAGTGTTGAGAAGTTCTCAAAAGAATATATTAGACTTATATTAGACTTGCACCCATGAGTTGGACGAACGACCAGGTAAGAACCCATCTCGGGACACAGAGAGGGCTTCATGGATTTAAGGATCAGTCTGTGTCATAATTGAGCCCAGACACATGTACAAAGCTCTAAAACTACCCCTTTGTTGAAAAGCCCATGAGGTCCATCTCACAGTACAGCAGTGACCAGTGTTGTGGGCTTGGGCAGCCATTGCACAAGAACTTTTCCCAAATAAAGGAGGGCCAGAGATCATTTCACCCAAACATCAGCACCAAGAACTCTTCTTCAGACAACAGCACACATGTGAACTGAAGGCTCACAAAAGGCCCTCAGTGACTTTCAAACACTGCTTCATACCCTGTTCCATCTCTTCTTTCTGTATAAGAGACTTGAAACCTCAGAGAAGAACAATCCCTATAAAGAAAAAAAAATTAAATAAATTTCCCTCACAGGAGAAACTTATTACCTGAGAATGATCAAGTTAAATGGACAAACTGAACCAATTACCTGTGAATGTTGGTAGAGGTTCTTTATTCTTCTCTAAACCTAATGTGGCCACGTGGCCCTCTGGGAGCTGTGCTAGCAACCACTAGAGGAGAGGTCAGATGCAGGTCGCATGGAAACTTCCAGAAGACTAGCCTTACGACACAGTCTTCAAACCCACACCAAGTGCCTGTAGCCTCACACTTGCTCAGAAATGACTTCAATACTCCAAACAAGAGGGGACAGTTTGCTAAATTTTCTTACAACACTAATCCTTCTGTTTCTGGAGCTTTATCAAATGTCTATTTGTTTTTATTTGAACATTAGCAATTTCTTCTCAACACAGGTCTATGAAAGGAAATTGAGTGGTCAAGGCTATTGTCTGTATCTCATCATTGTGGCTACAAACCCCAAAATGGAAATGGCTTAGGATAATCCATCTTTACAATGCTGAACCATTCTTTATACTCACTGAAAATGAAACCATAAATAAATAATCACACTTCAATGTAAAGATTCTAGTGGGAAAGCACTTTTGAGATTTTAAATGTAAAAACAGATGACCCACCAAGAGAGAAAAAGTTATAGTTCAATATGGTTTCAGGGGGGAAAATGGCCTCTTTGGAGGAAATGTAATACAATATAGGAAACAAAAAAATCATAGATTATTACACATAACGATTAAAAATACAATGACTTTATTTCCACTTCCCAATATCTCATCTCATAAGAACTGTCATCTTTATTAAACACAAAAATATTTCAAGAAAGCATGTTCCAAGATAGTACATATAAGCAATAGTTTGGCAGAATTTTATCAACTCTAGTAATTTATACCCCCAAAAAACAAGTTTTAAAATTCAAAAATAACCGTTTTATTTAACATGTTACACCTTAACATTTAAAATATCATGCTCTAGTTAAATATTTCAACAACACTGTATACAAATAAAATATTACACAAAATATATTTAAGAAAATGTTTGGTCTTTGATCTTAACAATAAATAAAAACACAGGCACTTCTACACTGAGACAAGAAAGCAATCACTACTCAGAATAATTATCTTGTATAAGCAACATGTGAAAATATGGCAATAATAAAACCTGGAATTTAAACTGACAAGTCACTTATGAAAAGGTCTGTAACTTCAATCTTTTCACTCAAGTCAAAAGTTACATACACTTCCTGGTCCACAGTGAAAATTCACAAACCCAATATGGTTGTCAGGGGCATTTCAATCTTCAGCTGGCCATTATGGAATCATACTCATTATTTTCAAATGCTAAAATCAGATAACTATTATGATACCACCCAGCCAAACCAATTACAAGAAAATTTAAACTCTCTTTCTTACTCTGACCATAAGACCACAAGATAAATTAGATGAGTGTCACACAGTGATTCTCATTTTGCAAAATTAACTAATTAGATTAACACAAGAAAATACTGTTGGGGTGGCAGAAAAATTCCACAAGAGTCAATTTTCTAGACAATTTTAAAAATTTGCCCAAATCTCATGATAATAAATGTAATTCCATTTCACAAAAACCACTGAATCATGTATAACAAATTCTTTGTAGTCAGTAAGTTTATAAACATGTGAATTTGTCTGATAAATCAGTCATCATAATGGGAAGTAGGAATAGTAACACTTAAGAGGGCAAAATAAAAATAACTTAAAATGGTCAAATTCTAGAAACTTATCATATCAGATGAGAAGGGGGGACACAATGACCACAAGCCCGTAGAAAGGATCAAAACCCATCATCCTGCCATTATTATTCATAAAATATTATCATTTTCTGCTTTCCTTCTTCACAAAAGTACCAGATTGAAGGGTTTAGAAGCCCTCAAATGGATACTACTTACAAAGGCAATTTTGATGGTTTAACATAGAAACTACCCTAAATGTGAGAATCCAACCTGGGACTATTCAAAATATGCCTTTCTATGCAAAATTTAGTATGTATATCTTAGCATTTTAAATGAGCACTTTGCAACCGAGACCAAATATCAATCATCTCTTGAGGTTTTCTACTGTGTACTAACATCAGATCTACATAGGAACAAATGTTATTCTTGTTTTTCTCCTCAATATCAAATGTCCTGAAGCCTTTGTGTTTCTCTGGAACGAGGCCGAGTTTCTGAAGGCACATTCCAGTATAAACGTCATCGATGGGGTAGAGGTGGACCCGGTCGGTGGCACTGTACAGCCTCAGGGCCAGCTGGCCGGAGTAGAGGAATCCCCCTCCCCCGGCATAGGGTGGGTAGACGCCGGAGTAAACAACTTCCGGGATGTAGTACTTCAGTTTCTTATCCCGGTGGGGTCCAGCATTGTGGATCACATCACCTATGAACAAATCTTTGGCTTTGTTCTTGGATAAGCTATTCAAGTAATTCAGGATGTGATGGGTGTTCACAAACACATCGTCATCGCCCTTGAAGACGAACTCAGCGTCTGGGCAGGAAGTACTCACCCACCTGAGAAACAGCACCTCCTTCAGGGACAAGTTGAAGAAAGTGTCTCTGTAGCTCCACATGAGAATGTCTTGGTGCTTCTCACTCTCGAATTTCAGCATATCTGAAAGGTCGGGGTGGTTGTCTTCCGGGGGAGTCTGGCCCAGCAGGAAGACGCGCACCACGGTCTGGTTCCCCACGCTGCTCTCTCTGCCCCAGGATTCCCGGATCGCCTGTCTTCTGGCAAAATGCGCAGTGAGGGACTTAATTGCCAGCAATAAGAATGGTTTCTTCGCACACTTATGTGGCTGATCTATAAGCAGTGAATAGTTGCGGCATCTCAAATACAGCAGAAAGTCTTTAAATCTGTCCGGCAGATTGTTAAAACCTGTAACGACTGACATGACCCTCTGGTCAGGTTCACAATAATTCAGATAGCTTATGTTGGAAAAACCATACCCTTCCCCTGTCTGGTTGGCCAACATGCTCAGGATGGGATTGTACTGCTTGTTCAGCTTTTCTTGTTCTCTGTTCCAGTATGCCTGAGGAGGATTAGATATCTTCCAGAACTTCTCTTTGGGTATTATTACTTCCCCTTTTCCATTTTTTTCTTGGCTACTGCTTTTGGAGACTTCCATAATCAAATAAATGAAGACATTTGCCATCATCAGGATACCCAACAATTTTATTCTTCGACGTCCAACACTCATTTCTCATATCTGGAATAAAAGGGGCGAGTATGACATGAATTAGATAATTGTTAATTTGTACTTGCATATACATTTTGATTTACTTCACTTGCCTCTTTGTCTCCCCAGGAATAGCGGTTTAGAGCACAGATTCTAGACTTGCACTACCTAGGCTCAAATTCCAGCCTTCCTTTCTAGCTTTGTGACCTTGGGCAAGTGGTATAACTTATGTCTCAGCTTCTCCATCTATAAATTGGGGATCATAACCCCTTTCATAGGATGGTTGTGAGGAACATATGATTTCCTATGGAAAGCTTTTAAAATAGGGCCTGGCCCATAGCAAGCGCTATGTAAGTGATTAACATTGCTGCTGTTGTTTCAGACATGTATTTACATATTCCATGTCTTTCCATTCCAAGTTTTGATTCTATTTCATTTTTTAAAAAATGCTGGTCCCAATCCTGAATTATTTCCCAAATTGCCATTTTACAGATGAAGAAACTGAAGCAGAGAGATTAAGATGCTTGCCCAGGGTTGCAAGGGTAGGAAGCAGACAAGATAATAGCCACATTGCATGTTCAGAGACAGAAAATGAAAGGAAGGCTCATGACAGCTTTATCCTAATAGCCAAATACTTATAACAACCCAATATTATCAACAGGAGAACAGATTATCAAATTGTGGCATACTCATACAATGGAATATCCCTTGGCAATAAAAAGGAAAACTATTGTTACGAGTAACATTACATTGTGAGTGAAAATCAGATCCAAAATTTCATTTATATTGACTTGAAGAACTAATCTAGGCCCTAGAAATCTGAAAGTGATGGAGGTGGTGGTTTGGAGAGGAGCAGGAGGGACCTTCCTGGGATAAAGAAATGTGCTGTGTGGGTCTTGGCCTGCATGAGGCTTCATGAGTGTTATCAAACTGTATACTTAAGACCTCTGTTGTCTGTAGCAAAAAGAGAAATGCAAACGACATTCTAGTAATATCAAAAGATTTCCGGCTGTGAGCAACAGGAGAACAAGGAAAGAGTAATGAAATGGCTTGCTGGGGATAACCCCAAGGTTCTAACACTACAGACATGAATGATCTGCATAAGAATGAACATTTAGACAAGCCGGACATTAAAAGGCAGCTCAAAAAAGTAGAATGGCAACACACTATAAAGTGCTATAAGGATTTCTTATCAGGTTATTCTAAAACTGAGAATTTACCCCTAGGTATTATTACATTTATTCCCATTTTATACCTAAGGACACATATATTTAAAGAAGGATGAGCAGAGCTAGAATCCCAGCCAAGGCAATAGATTCCAAGGCTACCATGTCAAATGGTAGACACCTTCCTCTGACTTCTAAAACATAGCTGTGTGACTATTTTAATAAAGAGTAGTATTTACTGTTTTTCTTAAGCAAAACCACATGTGGTCAATACTTTTTTAATAGAAGAGGATTTTTAAGTTCACCGGGTTCTAGCAAACAGTTGCAAGGTAGAAAAATACCTGTCATGTTCAGAGTGCTGTGAAACTAATACCTCTTGGACAGCCCACATTAGATCAATAGAAATTCACAAGATATTTTGTGTCTCTTAAAATGTACTCTAGCAGATCTTTATCTATTTGCTTGTATTTAGTACTGCTAAACAACTCCAGCTATGAACATGTAATTAAAAGAGTTTTGCTTTTGTTTTCTTTAAAACCAATGCCGACCCTATAAGACAACTTCCCAAAGCCTTTGCACATTTAGAGGGCATGGCAGGTGAGAAAGATATGTAGGTGCTCTTGGCTCACCCAAATAAGCAGTCTCCCATCACCACACCATTCTTCCCCTAACTCCCCAATCACTACCCACCTCCACCCCTGGAGAATCCCGCCACTCAGCCAGCAAGAAAGAAGGATCTTCTTAAACTTCCTCCCAAAGAAAGAAACCATACGACACTTCTTACTCTTTTTTTATTTATTTATTTAATTTTCAATTATTTTTAAAGACAGGCTCTCAATATGTTGCCCATGCTTGTCTTGAACTCCTGAGCTTAAGTAAGTAATCCTCCCTCCTCTGCCCCCACCAAGTACTTGGGACTGTAGGCACGTGCCACCACCATGCCTGGCTTCTTACTCCTTAATTATGGTTTTAAAGCGCCCCAAGTCACACAGCCTGAATAAGTCCACGCCTAAATCTTGGGTCCCCACCCTCCTTAGGTTAGCTCCTTTTCAAATGAGCTTGTAAGCAAATCTTATGAGCTCATTAAAGGTCTGAGTCTGGTACATCTTTGACAACCTAAACCACTTTGCTATGGGCCTAACTTTCAAGGGCAAGGGAACCCAACGGACAATTAGAATGTATGTGCAGGGGTAACCGATGCAGATAAAGAATTAGTCATCTTTTTAGAAAACAATCACAAATACATTTAAACTTTTTTTTAACTTCCAAATTTGAGACAAAATACTTAAAGATTTGGAAAGGTACTCAGGAAAAACAGCACATGCTATGAACAGCTAATATCTGGCAAAACTCAGTGAAGCAATTTAGACACCAATAGACTATTCCCAAAATTTCTAGAGTAAAAGAAAACAGCTTAAGGAAGAAAAAGGGAGGTACAACATTCTAAATAGCTGGTTGTGAACTTCCATAGCTAATTCTCCTAGGAAATAACACAGGGTGAATAATATGTAAAAATGACTCCAGATATAAATTAACAAGTTAAGTATCCGAGTTATGGGGGAGGACATGGATATCTGGAATCCAGCCATAACCATTTGAAGTTTCTATCAGGGAAAGCAGGGGTTAAGTAATTTGCCTGAATATTACATAAGAGTGAAGTGACAAAGCTGAAAGGAGGCAGCAGCCTTCTGGCTCACAATCCAGGGCTCTTTGGATCTCTGCTGTTTTCTACAACGCACAACCATGTTCTAGTGACCCGGTTCGGGTCAACAATGAAGTCTCAAGGGCTGGCTCAAGACTGAAAAGACCCAAGGCACGGGATCATGTACATCAGATAGTTACCAAGAATCTCCAAAGAAAGGGAAATGGGAGCATCTACAAGCTCCCTGTCTGTCCCCTTCACAAGGTGCGCCAGGCTTTCTTGTAAAATAGTTCAGATTCCCAAAGGCTCAGTTTAGGAGCACTCTTCCCATTACTTGCTAAAGGGTATTTCTTCCAAACCAACCTGAGGAGGAAAGGTGGAAAACCCAAGATTCTCAACTGCATATTTCTGAAGGTTAAATGTCATCTTTTGCTTGTGACCTGGGCATGGTCTCTTGCATGAGAACTCCGCGTTTGGCAGTAGTACTCTTATAACAAGCCGAAGTTCACAGACGGGAGGATAAAGCAATGACCCCCATAAAAATATCTGTGGGAAAAAGCTCTCTAAACAGCTGACTACATATTCCCATCACAGACAGAAAACCCAATTCTGTGTCCTTTTTTGAACAGGAAGTTACATTGCCTAAGAAGAATTTGAGTAAGAAAACCTACCCCAAAGCTGGGGGAGATGTTATAAACCCTCACTTGTGAAACACAGAATTTTTATTGTAACAGAAATAGGGGGAAAAAAATCACAAATACAAACAAAGAACAACCTTAACTTTTTACCTTGTTTCCAGCAGGGATAGAAGAGTTTTGAAACTTCTAGAACACTTCAGTTCATTTTGTTAGCTTAACGAAATTAAAATATTTAGAAAGACAATACAACAGAAAATATGTTAGCTGAAAACGGATTACAAAATAGCACAGACGTGATGCCAAAACTATGTGAAAATCCAGATAAAATACCACACAGAAACAAAGCTGGTTTACTCCGGGTGGTGGGATGAGAGGCTGTTTTACATTCTTTAATGCTGCCCAACCACCCTTCCCTCTGAGCAGCCTCTTGCGCACACCGCGCACTGCCTGGGACAGGAACTGCCATTCCCCGCCTGTGCCAGGGCTGCAGCCCAGACTCTGTGTCACTCCATTTGACCCCTGCAGTGTTGCACAGAGGCTCTGGCACGACACCCATCCCTAGATCACCTGCACACTTTCCCTCATGCCCAAGCCATTTCTTAGAAAGGGCTCCTAAACATCACAGTGAAATATGAGCACATCTGCTTTATTTTAATAAATATGTGTCAGGCACCAGCAATCCTATAAGGCAGATACTCTAAACGCCTCCTTCTTCATATTGCAGATGGGGAAATTGAGGCATGGGAGAGATGACTGGATTTTCCCAGGGTCACACTGCTGGTAAGTGGCAGAGACAGGATTCAAACTCAAGCAATACGGCTCCATCGTCTGAGTTTTAAACCCTCATGCAAGGGAACGCTGCTGCACAGGGTTATGACTGAAGGGATGCTGGCCTTATTTTCAGTGGTTAATCTTCTTAAAGATTTGAGAGTTACCAAGAGTCCCCAAAAGAAAGGGAAAATTCAAAAGCGTTACATTTATACATTTTAACCCACAAAACTAAGATGCATCAAAAATTAGATATGAGAGGCAGCGTGGTATCATTTACTACGCTACAGGCCAACCTCCAGGCAAAATGCAGCCCCCGTGCAATGAGGAAAATGAGAAAAATGAGGCTTCCAGAGTCCCAGCTTCCAAGCCAGTTAGGGATGGAGTCAGGATTTGGGCCCAGGGAGTCTGCTTCCAGACTCTGCTACTTACGAGTGCATTGGAACGTGGGGAAGGATTACCAAACCGTAAAAACAGATGGTGACTCTCCAAGACTGTCTCCTCTATGACCTTGAGGAAGCCAATTTCTCAAGACCTTAGTTTCTTAACCAAGAAGCTGTTTTTAGTTTTTCCTCGCACACAAAATCATGGTTTCCAAAGAAGTCAATTTTTCTATTGTCCCACCATTCCATTAATCAGAAGCCATGATCCCCGCCAGGCGCTGTGGCTCACGTCTGTAATCCTAGCACTCTGGGAGGCCAAGACGGAAGGATCCCTTGAGATCAGGAGTTGGAGACCAGCCTGAGCAAGAATGAGACTCCGTCTCTACTAAAAATAGAAAACATTAGCTGGGCAAAGTGGTACGTGCCTGTAGTCCCAGCTACTCGGGAGGCTGAGGCAGGAGGATTGTTTAAGCCCAGGAGTTTGAGGTTGCTGTGAGCTAGGCTGACGCCACGGCACTCTAGCCCAGATGACAGAACCAGACTGTCTCAAAAAAAAAAAAAAAAAAAAAGAAGCCGCCATGATTCCTTTTCCCCCATCCAGATGAGATGACCAATACTACTACACTCAGTTGGTTCAACTCCAGACAAAGCAAAGGCCTTCAACATCTACTTAGCCCATATAGGCTTAATTTTCTTAGGGCTCTCTGAAACACTGAACCAATTCCAATATTTCATTCATAGATATTAGACTGGGAGCCACTAAACTGGATGATCCTAAAAGTTCTACTCCAGTTCTGAGAGCCCTACGAGCACTGAAGTATAAAGCGCTGGCCAGAACCAGAATTCATTCGGCTGTGGTCAGTATGGCCACGGGCAGCCCTGAGGACTCTCATTCTCACACAACTGAGGCGGCACTGACCCCCCCACCCAGGAGCTTGGGCAAATTAGGGAGAGGCCCAATAGCAGCTAACCAGGGACAGAGCCAGCGACACACCCAAGGCAGACCTAAAACCTGTGCAGAAACTGCCCTGCACTTCCCCCAGTACCAGTTAGCAGCCTCCTTGTCAGGGAGGTGGGAGGGGTGGGTGCTTCCCGCTCACTCTCCTGCTCAAACAGGACACACAAATCCTGAGAGAAGGAGCCAAGCCTCCTGCTACATTGTGAGGGCGGAAGAGCGTGTTCACACTACCCCTTGCTCTTCCCCAAACCCCAGGCACCTGGCGAGAGTCATTTACCTAAACCCTCACCTCCTAGGCAGTCCCATCTGTTGCCTGGCCCTTGCCAGCCCTTTCCAGGTTCTGCTCAGATAAACAGAGACAGTTTGCAGCTAAGTGGCTCCAGGGGAGAGAACAGCACTCCCGGTACTCACAGCAGATGGTGGGGTGACAAGGCTGTGAGTGGAGCAGCTCAGTGGGACCAGAAGAGCTGGGTCACACCAAGAGCTTGTTCCTTGATGGGGCAGGAGGCCTGGCCTGGGTTCTTGCCAGGGTTGGGGCAGGGGAGCCCCAGGCTACCCCTCACCCCCCACCCCTCACCAAGAGGCTGGCACTAAGCTGCCAAGATGTGTCTGACTCTGCTTTCTGGTCTGTAGGTCATAGAAATACTACTACCTAAATTCAAAAAATTTGGTTCCTAGTTATGAGTTTGCCCTCAATGTTCAAAATCAAAAGGGAGACGTACTCTTAATGAATCTATTCACCTACATGCCCGCACAGGCAACATTCTAGATCAACGTGTCTGGCAGATCATGTTCTGTCCCCATTGATCACAACTCCCCCAGCGGCCAGAGTGGATGACCTTCCCACAGAAAAAATACAATCAGCCACTAAATGCATTCTTCAAATAAATACATACAGAACTTTCAGAAAAGGGGGGAGGAAGAAATGATGACAGAGAATTAACCTTTCCAGAGGCCATCATGCCCTACCTGTAGTAAAACGGACAAGGATTTTAGGTCCTCAGTGGAAAGATCACATAATTTAAAAACACAGCTGGAAGATGTTTAAGGATGGAGATGTCCCAGATCCATCTTTTCAGTTTGGAAAACCAGTCTGGCATCTGGAGTCAAACAGACCAGAGTTAAATTCTGGCTATGCTACCTACTAGCTGTGTGGCCTTAGGCAAATTACCGGACTTCTCTGAGCCTGTTTCCTCCTTTGTATAATGAGGATGATATAACCTACCCTACCAGTTTGTTGTCTACCATGCAATGGGCATTTAACAATTCATCTTCCAGGGCTCTGCTTCCTCCACCAAACACTAAATGAAAGTACATTTCTCAAGTTTTGTCCTTCATCGCCTCTTTAATAAGTTTTCTCTCTACAAAATCATCCATCCTTGGCCATAAACATCACCTCCAAAGAGGGCTCACAGGTCAACATATCTAACCCTAGATTTTAGCTTCTAAATGCCTTGTTGGATCACGTTCCCAGGCAGCTAGGTGAAACCCCCAGCATAAGCTTAAATTGCTAATTCTCCCTGCTCTGCACATTCAGCCAGGTCTTGTGTCTCCACCTCCATAATGTCACCTGTACCTTCTCCTCCCCTCTCCTCTATTCCACTCAGGCTCTGTGTGGCTCTAGCTACTGATTTCCCACTGTGCTCCCCAACATGCCTTATTCCCCAATCTAACCAGTCTTCAGTCTCCTGTACATACCTTCCCTGCCCCTGCTGTTCCCCGAGTCTGGTCAGACCACCACCACCAACTCTACTGTTCCCTTAAAGCTCCCAACTCTAGCTCTGTTTGTGTGGTCTGCTCCATTCCCAGAGGTGAGGGCGCAGGGCCTATTCTCCTCTTCTAAGTGACCTCCTGCCCACGGATATGCCCCAGCTTAAACACCAGCCTCACCTCCCAGGAGTTAAGGTCATCTCTCCCGGTCAGGTTGGCTGACGCCTGGGCATCCTCCATGGCCAAGGTGTTCACATTGTACCGCCACTACATCCCAGCACATGGTACCTGAAAGTCACCCAGCATTTGCTGCAGGAACAGATATTTTGGTCATCTGGTCAAGTTCACTGAACACAATGAGTGTTTAGAGAAACTAGAATTAAGTTATAATTATTTATATTAAATATACATATCTTTTCTCCAAAGAGATGACACTGGGCAATCACTTAGATATATGCTACTGAATATTTAATATATGTACACAATTATATAAATCTGTCTCACTTTATTAAGTACTAAAGGACAACAGAAAAAACTTAATGGATTCCCTAGAGTTGGGGGAAATAGGAGTTTTAGAAGTAGTGAGCCCAGGTTAGGCCTGGGGTGGGAATTATAGCCAAGCCTTCATTTCCTAGTCGCCCAAAGGCAACATCCCCATGGGATGCTCCGAGTGAGCATCCCGTGTGCAGGATGCAGGTGTGCGGGGTTCAGAGGTGCTTCCAGGTGAGGGCCCCATCCCTCCTCTGCAGCAGACCCAAGCCTCCCCTCCTCCACCCTATCCCAAAATGGGGGTGCTCCACCTCCAGCAGTTGTTACCTACGTGACAGTAGAGCAACACTACTGGAAGGAAGCCTAAAGGAAGAAGGTCTTTAGTACAGATCTGCCACCTGAGGTAGGACAATTTCAGAAAAGAAATGGCATAATGCAGGTAGTCCCTTCCTAAGGAGCTTAATGCATTTTGGAAGCCCTTGGTTAAGAGCCTGCACATGGTTTGGAAAGTGTTTCTATTTCAGCCTCTCTAGGAACTACCTATAAGTAAGGGTAATCTGGCAGGCTCCTGGTCAGCCCTCAAATCACTAGCCTTCTCTCTGATTCATCCTTCTGCTGGTTTAGGTGAGCTGCACAGGATGTTTTCCAGTCTGGGGCCAACCAGACAGTAATTTAAGCAAGAAAGTTTAATGCAAAGAATATGAGTGACTATAAAGATGGAATAAGAATCTAAAGGATGCCCTGAGACAGATGAAAAGTACCCCAAAAGGACAAATTTGGAAGTGGGGGATTCCAGGGTTTCCTGAAGAAGGTATGGATGGCAGAAAAGTTCCTGGGTAGCCAGGCCAGAGATGGTCGAGTCATCAGGAAAGCAGGGACAACTCTCTGGGGTGCAAGTGAGCAAGACTGGAGATAAGTGGGCAGGCACAAAGAAGGAAAGAAGGACACACAGAGGGAGTCACCAGGCGGTGCTAAAACCCAGAATTGAAGAGGCCTCTCCCTGCAGGACCTTAGCATATCAATGTAGGACCTGGACTAGAGCAGCTCAGGGCTGTGCTCAAGACAAAGATCAGGTGGCCAGCTGCTAGATGGCCAGCACCATGTGACTCTGGGGTACACACACAGGAGCTAAGAAGAGGGTGAAGGGAGCAGTGACCCAGGATGGGTATGGCCCGCTAACTCAGGCTCCCAGTCCCACCATTGCTGCCAGAGCCGGAGAAAGCAGAACAGAAAATTCTGGAGAGTTATACCCTACAGGAATCTAGGAGTGCAGGAAAAACAACAGGCTCTCTGTAGGAGCCCAGAGTCACACATACACAGACACCAGGAACCAAGAAGGAAAGTCCCTTCCCCCTACAACCTCTCTCTCTGAAATTCCTCTTCAGAGATCTCAACTCACAGAGAGCAAAGGAAAAATATGTGAAGGGCCCAGACCCATTTTCAGACATCAAGCAACAGAGGGTGATTTTGGAGCTAGGAGGAAATACTTGAAATCTGGCACGAGCTGTAGGTCTCTAGATCATCAACCCAAAGTCTTCCCTAACCACAAACATTTTTATTTCAAGTCTGGAGTTGGAAGGAAAGGGTATAAAATCCTCTACCCTGGATTGGCAGAGAGGCAATAAATATGTGGCAGTCCTTTCGTCAACACCAGGGGATGGGGCAGGACCTGAGTGGGGCTTACAACAGGGCAGCTTTCAGAACTGCAGGGAGAAGTAGGGCAGATGAGAGGTGGGGTGGGGACACAGAGTGTCTGCAAGCTGAGATCCATACAGCCAGTTCTTAGGCAGCTGGGTTCTGAGGCCACACTGGAAAGAGTAGGTAGGAGCTGGTGGGGCCCTCTGCTTCTCCGCTAGGAAGAGGATGAACCATGCCTACATCTAACTTGACACATGATGCTGCTGGATAGATTGTAGGAAGGTGTTTTCTTTTATATCCCCTCTATTTAGAAAAGAAAACTGACATCACACAGGAATATGAAATAAGAGAAAAACGAAGAACTCCCAACTGGACGCCCATGGTGATTACAAATATAGTTGGCTTTTGTGTTCGCTGAGATGTAATTTCTATAAAGCAGATTCAGTTCACACAGGAGAAAGGGCATGACCTGAGTGCTTTGTCTTCTATCATCCAATCTCTGACAGAATACAGAATATATCTGGTCTGTCTTACCAATTGCTAACCAATGG